AGAATCTTCCAATCCAACCTCGATATTTTGCAGATGAAGAAACTAAGGCCAAGAGAAGTTAACTAGACTTGTTCAATGTCACACAGATTCATGGTTCAAACTCCACTCTTCTGAATACAAGAACGATGTTCTTTCCACTCTATCAAGGTATCAAGGTAAGGAGAGATGATTCTGGGAAGATGGCGGAGTAGGTTAGAAAATTTCAAGCTCTCAATATTTTCCTCCACAAAAGAGATAAAATAGCTCCTCTGGACAAACATAGAGCCATGAAAACAAATAAGAGTAGGGGCAGAAGAGGGTTATTCTGGGATAATTGAAGAAGATCTGAAGAAAAATCCTGGACAAGATTTCCTCCCTATAAAGAGTAAACACCTCCAGGCTCGGTTTGCTTCAATAACAAGCCAAGCTGCTTAAACAAGTGGTAAGACCGGGGTTAGCTGGTTTGAGAGGCTACCTCTGCCCTAGCCACAGGAACTTTTACCTCTGGAACACTGAGGGGAGTTGGGCATCTGACCTGGAGAAGATCGCAGGAGCCTCTGCTGACAAGGAACGCCAGACCCAGCTGTGCCTCAGAGACGCAGTGGGGGCAAGAAGGAGCCAGCACAGGCAGGTGAGTGCATAAGCAGTGGGGTGGGGACACCCCTGGCTGTGTTGGAGGGTCAGGAGGGTGCACTGAAGAGGATCAGAGGCACCATCCCCCATATTCCAGCACCAGAGGTGATTACAAAAACTAACTTATTCCTAAATATTGTCAGCATCTGCCTTGCCACGTCTTACATCCATTGCTCTCCCTTCCTACCCCCCTTTCCCATAACAGCCTTTCAGATCTTGAAGTCCATCATCCAGCCCCACCCCATGTTTTCTCTCCTCCAGACTAAATATCCCTGGTCCCTTGGGTGATGCTTTGGAATTCTCTCTCTATCCTTCAGTTCCTCACCTTTCCACCCTGTGATTCAGATTCATGGTGTTATGAAAGGGGAGATCGGAGCTGGTTTTAAGAAAATACTGTAATGGAATGCAAAAGTATGAGCTGGTTTTATGAAAAAACCAATAAAATAGATAAGCCTTTGGTTAATTTAATTAAAAAAAAAGAAAGAAGAAAACCAAATTACTAGTATCAAGAATGAAAAGGACGAAGCTACCACCAAGGAAGAGGAAATTAAAACAATAATTAGGAATTATTTTGCCCAACTATATGCCAACAAATTTGACAATCTTAGTGAAATGGGATACATATTTACAAAAATATAAATTGCCCAGATTAACCGAAGAGGAAGTAAAATACTTAAATAACCCCATCTCTGAAAAAGAAATTGAACAAGCCATTGATGAACTCCCTAGGAAAAAATCTCCAGGGCCAGATGGATTTACATGTGAATTCTATCAAACATTTAAAGAACAATTAATTCCAATACTATATAGACTATTTGGGAAAATAGGTGAAGAAGGAGTCTTACCAAATTCTTTTTATGATACAAATATGGTGTTGATACCTAAACCAGGAAGAGTCAAAATAGAGAAAGAAAATTATAGACCAATTTCTCTAATGAATATAGATGCAAAAATTTTAAACAAAATACTAGCAAGTAGATTGCAGCAACTTATCACAAGAATAATACACTATGACCAGGTAGGATTTATACCAGGAATGCAGGGTTGGTTCAATATTAGGAAAACTATCAGCATCATTGAGCATATCAACAACAAAACCAACAGAAAGCACATGATGATCTCAATAGATGCAGAAAAAGCTTTTGATAAAATAACACCCATTCCTATTAAAAACACTAGAAAGCATAGGTATAAATGGAGTCTTCCTTAAAATAATAAATAGCATATCTAAAACCTTCAGCAAGCATTATATGTAATGGGGACAGGCTAGAAGCATTTCCAATAAGATCGGGGTGAAACAAGGATGTCCATTATCACCACTGTTATTCAATATTGTACTGGAAACCTTAGCTTTAGCAATAAGAGAAGAAAAAGAAATTGAAGGCATTAGAATAGGCAAAGAAGAAACAAAGCTATCACTCTTTGCAGATGACATGATGATATACTTAGAGAATCCTAGAGAATCAAGTAAAAAACTACTTGAAATAATAAACAACTTTAGCAAAGTTGCAGGCTATAAAATAAACCCACATAAATCATCAGCATTTCTATATATTACCAACAAAGCCCAACAGCAAGAGATAGAAAGAGAAATCCCATTTAAACTTACTGTAGACATTATAAAATATTTAGGAGTCTACCTCCGAAACAAACCCAGGAACTCTATGAACACAATTACAAAACACTTTTCACACAAATAAAATCAGATCTAAATAATTGGAAAAACATCAGTTGCTCATGGGTAGGCCGAGCTAATATAATAAAAATGACAATCCTACCTAAGCTAATTTACTTATTCAGTGCCATACCAATCAAACTACCAAAAATTATTTTATAGAGTTAGAAAAAATAATAACAAGATTCATTTGGAAAAACAAAAGGTCCAGAATATCAAAGGAACTAATGAAAAGAAATGCAGGGGAAGGTGGCCTAGCAATTCCAGATCTTAAATTGTATTATAAAGCAGCAATCATCAAAACTGCTTGGTACTGGCTAAGAAATAGGGAGGTGGATCAGTGGAATAGGTTAAATATGCAAGACACAGTAGTCAATGACTATAGTAATCTATATTTGATAAACCCAAAGACCCCAGCTTCTGGGATAAGAACCCACTCTTTGAAAAAAACTGCTGGGAAAACTCAAAAAGAGTATGGCAGAAACTAGGCATAGACCCAAATCTCACACCATATACCAAAATAAAGTCAAAATGGGTTCATGACTTAGATATAAAGGCTGATACCATAAGTAAACTGGGAGAACAAGGAATAGTTTACCTATCAGATCTATGGAGAACAGAAGAATTCATGACCAAACAGGAGATAGAGAACAAATTTGAAAAGCAAAATGGATAATTTTGATTACATTAAATTGAAAAGTTTTTGCACAAACAAAGCCAAAGCAACTAAGATTAGAAGGAAGGTAGAAAATTGGGAAAGAATTTTTACAACCAGTCTCTCTGATAAAGGCCTCATTTCTAAAATATATAGAGAATTAAGACAAATTTATAAGAACACAAGCCATTCCCCAATTGATAAATGGTCAAAGGATATGAACAGACAGTTCTCAGATGAAGAAATTAAAGCCATCTATAGTCATATGAAAAAATGCTCTAAATATTATTGATTAGAGAAATGCAAATCAAAACAACTCTGAGGTACCACATCACACCTATCAGATTGGCCAACATGACAAAACAGGAAAATGATAAATGTTGGAGAAGATGTGGGAAAATTGGAACACTAATACATTGTTGGTGGAGTTGTGAAATGATCCAACCATTTTGGAGAACAATTTGGAACTATGCCCAAAGGGCTACAAAAATGTGCATACCCTTTGATCCAGCAATAGCACTTCTAGGGCTATATCCCAAAGAGATCAAACAAATGGGAAAAGGACCCACATGTACAAAAATATTCATAGCAGCTCTTTTTGTGGTGGCAAAGAATTGGAAATTGAGAGGATGCCCATCAATTGGGGAATGGCTGAGCAAGTTGTGGTATATGAATGTAATGGAATACTATTGTGCTATAAGAAATGATGAACAGGCTGACTTCAGAAAAACCTGGAAAGACTTATATGGTCTGATGCTGAGTGAAGTGAGCAGAACCAAGAGGACTTTGTACACAATAACAGCCACGTTATGCAATGACTAAGATTGTTGAATTGAACCCTTCTCAGCATTATGAGGATCTAAGACATCTCCAGAGGCCTCGGATGGAAAATGCTGTCTACATCCAAAGAAAGAACAATGGAAGTCGAATCGCTATCACTTATTTTTACCTTCTGTTGAGTTTTGTTTCATCTTTCTGATGGTTTCTCCTATTGGTTTTAATTTTTACTTACGGCTTCACTAATGTGAAAATATGTTTAATGGATACATAAATGTAAAGCCTATATCAGATTGTGCGCTGTCTTGGGGAGGGTGGGGGGAAGGGGGAGAAAAATTTTCAACTCAAAAGCATATGGAAGTGATTGTTGATGAATCAAAATAAGTTAATAAAAAAAAAGATTGGAAAAAAAAAAACAAGTTGGGAGGGGAGAGGGGAGAGGAGCAATGTGGTCCAGAGACTGAGCTCCAGCCTCATCCCTGATGCTTGAAAGTGACCCATGTGACCATTCACCTCCCCAGGCCTCAGTTTCCTCATCTGCAAAATAACAAGGTTGCCCAGGATGACCTCTGGGGTCCTTTCTAGATATGGAGCTCAAATCCTATGCTCGGAGGTGGAAGACTTTGCCTGGCGAAAAGACCGTAGCCCCGGGTCTGGAAGGGACACTCAGAGGCCATATAGTCCAACTCTCTTACTTTACAGATAAGAAAACTGAGGCCCAGGGTGCTAAAGGGGTAAGACCAGCCCTGGCAAAGAGGCATGTGATGGAGGATCCACTGTAGTCTAGACTCCAGAGAGAGGTTGTTAGAGGCAGGATGGAGAAGGGGGTGTTGGGTGGGGGAGGAGGACATAATGAGGGAGGCCTGGGGAACATCTTTTTTTTTTTATTTTGGAGGCAATGGGGGTTAAGTGACTTGCCCAGGGTCACATAGCAAGCTAGTAAGTGTCTGAAGTCAGATTTGAATTCAGGTCCTCCTGACTCCAGGGCTGGTGCTCTATCCACTGCGCCACCTAGCTGCCCCCTGGGTAACATCTTAACGTGTGTGATGAGAATTGGCCTTCCCCCTTTCCCTCCCTAACCCTGAGCTGGCCTCGCCAACACTGAGATCTTTACTGTTTGAAGCACAATACCTGGAATGCTCGATCAGACTCGGAGAGTGTCTGCCATCCTGGCTCCTTTCTGGCCACCTGAACAGTGGATGACTTCACAGATACTTTCATGTGAGAAGGCACTGTTTCCATGGACACGTGGTTGCTGTGAGACACCAGGTACCCCCCTGCAACTGTCCTGACCACTCACTCTGTCTCACTCCTAGGGTTTCTAAGAGACAGGAAAGGATGCTTCAAAGCAGCAGAGAGCTCTTGGCAGGAGGGTCATCTCAGAGGCCCAAGAATATGAAGTGATTTGTCCAAGGTCGCACAGACAGTTAGCGTCTGAGGTGAGATTCTAACCCCGTTTCTCTGAGTCTATGACTATGTCCAGTTCTCTTTCCACTGCAACCGACAAAGGCTGGGAGAAGCAGAAGAGGAGTGCAGCCTGCCCAGAACTAGTCTAGCCTGACTGGAGGGGATGTTCAGGGTGCAGGACCCCCAGCTCCTCCTGCTGCTCCCACTGACCCACAGAAGGAAGCCATGTGACCGTATCTTCAGGCAGGGCAGAAACCCCAGTCAGGTGGGAGGGTTCTCTCCCCCAGACGAAAGCTACATAGAAGAAGGAGAAGAGCATGGAACTAGGAGATCTGGGAGAGAAAAGCAGGGGACACAGGAGAGATTCTTAGTGCAGACTGTACTTTCGCTGCTGTGCCAATTTACTGTGTAGATACTAGCACCTTCCTTCTGGGGTGGCAGGGCAGGCGGAAGGCCAAGGGAAAGGAAGCCCTGAGATGAGTAAGGGAAGGGAAGTCCTGGCAACATTGGTCTCATACCAGGAGTTTCTTCTCCAAAGATTAAGTGATCAGAATATCCTCGAACCAAAAGCACCCTCGAAGAACCCTGTGGGTCTCACCCTCAGTCCCATCAGCTCCCCCCCTTGCCTCCTTTCTCCAACCTCCAGTAGCTCTTTAGAGCCGCCCAATGAGAGCAAAGACACTTGGTCAGCAGGTTCATAGAACCCCAGAGCACAAAGGACATTAGTGGCCAGCTAGCCCAACTGCTAGCAGAACAGAAACTGTTGACATCCCTGACAAAGGATTCTGCCTTGGCTTGAAGACCTCAATTGAGGAAGACAGAGTGGTAGAAGTGGAAAGTGTGGAAAGAGCTCTGGGTCTGGAGGCTCAGAACCTAGCATCAAATTCTGCCTCTATCACGTACTACCTGTGTGACCTTGGGCAAGTCACTTCCTCAGCCTCAGTTTTCCCGTCAGTAAAATAAAGGTAGAGGTGGACTCTATGGCCTCTGAGGTGTTTTCTAGTCCTAGGATCCTCTGACTACTTAAAGCATTTAGCCCATTTTAGGTAGGTGAGAAGAAATGGCAAAGTGAAATCCACCTCTCTAGATTTCTAGCCCCTCTTGCTCCTCTTCTCCTTTCTAAAAGAGAGAGCACATCTAACTCCTCTTCCATGTGACAGCCCTTCCATTCATGAAGTCAGCTCTCAGACCCCCAAGTCTTCTCTTCTCCAAACTACACCTCCCCCATTCCTTCAGCCTGGGAGGGGGTAGGTAAGGAGGCTGGCCTCCTTATTTCCTTCAAATGTTTGCTGGAGTTCTGAGAGTGAGAATGTTAATCAGTGTCTTCAGAAGGAGGAGATGGGGAATCCAAGTAGGAGTCATCTGGGTGAGGAATCACCCAGCAAGGAGTAATTAGGTGTTTACCATGTGCCAGGCATTGTGCTATGCATTGAGGGTACAAAGAAAAAGCCAATCCCTGCTTTCAAGGAACTCACATTCTAATGGCAGGGGTGGGGGATCACACTCAAAGGACAAATTGTTTGTCTTTGCTGAACTGATGGGGTTTTTTTTCTTTCCATTTGTATTTTTTGTTGCCAAGGATAACTCTCTGGGTTGATGAGGCCAAGAGATGCATTCAGAAATGGAGGCTGTATAAAAATGAATACTTCATAAATTCTCATTGATTGGGGAATGGTGAAACAACCCATGACACATGAATGGGATGGAATGTGAAAATTCAGAGAAGCATCAGAAGACTTCTGAACTGATGACATGGGGAGAAGTAAGCAAAACCAGGAAAACAAGGTGCACAATGACCACAACTATGTCAATGGAACAAACAGTAACAGGAATAGGAATTGACACGGGGTATTTATAATGAACAAGCTTGACCTCAAAGGAGGCACGTGAAAAGGTGTGTACCTCCCTCCCTTCTTTATAGAGGTATGGAAGGCAACGTGTGCTTTCAGATTAGATTGATATATTGCATAGTTTGGCTGAACTGATTATTTTAATCTTTTTTAGTCAATGTTTTAAGGGATGGTTCTCTGGGTGGGGAGGATGATGTCAAAACAACATTTCTTTTAAAAAGGGAATCCTAAAAAAATATTCCTTTAAAATATTTAAAATATAAAAAATATTCCATTAAAGGGCTCAGAACCCAGACCAGGTGACCAAGGTTAAGTGAGAAGCCTTCATCCTGAGTAGTTCAGTAGAAAGGAATCTGGACTCGGATTCTAGTCCTGGCTCTGATGGTCCACTTCCTGCGACACCAGATCCCCCTTCCCAATGTGAAGACAACACAATTGTTTCTTCGGAAAATGTTATGGCTTCCCTGCTCACTTTAGCTCTAATGGTGGGCTACACAGTTCATGTCCCACTCCCAGGGAGCCCTTTTCATAGCCCTGCAAATCAAAGAACATTTCCACTACCTACTATCCTCAGACCAACCAATGTCTAGACCATGGACCCAACCACACATTGGGACAAGACTCTACTGTCAAATGTCCTACCATTGAGACAATTTACAGTCACCAAATGGAAGCATTGGAAATGACATCAGACACAAAGCAGTCAAGCCCTTTGATAAGAAAGGATCCCCTTTCTGCCCCTTGGACAAGTCATTCATTCTTTTCTTGAAAACCATCAGTGAGGAGGATGCCTCCACTTCCTGAAGCGGCCCATTGCCCTTGGGGGCAGCTCCAATTGGAGGGGTCACTTTCCATTATGTGGAGCCTCACCCCCTGGCTGCTAGTTCTGCCCTCTGGGACCCAGGAGAGTAAGTGCAATCTCTATCTTCTGCATGACAGACCTCCGAACTTCCAAAGGCCACCCCCCTCCCCAACGATACATGAAGAGAAGCCATCAGCTCTTCAGGCTCAACGTCCCCTAGTCTGATTAATGTTGTTATCTGATCCTCCTATGGCATTATTGATTTTGAGTCTCTTTCCTCATCTGTAAAGTGAAGGGAGATGGTCAGATGACCTCTCAGGTCCCTTCAGTCCTTGATTTATGATCCAAAGATTCTGCTAACCCTTCTCTGGGCATGTGAACCTCCTTCCTGAAATGTGGTGCTCAGAACTGAACACACTATTCCAGGTGGGGTCTGACCAGGAAAGATGGGGTACATTGGGACTGCCAGTTCCTTAATCCAACCTTCCTTTAATGCATTCTAAGCTTGTAAGAGCTTTTGACTCCTTTCAGTACATAAAAATGCCTCAGGATCTTTCTCAGGCTTGCTCTCTGGCCCATGACACATAATAAATGTTTGTGAATTGATCTCATCTTTGAGAAGCTGACTTTTTGAACCCAACTGTAAAATTTTGCTTTTATCTCTACTTAATTTCATCTGATTTGATTTGAACCAATGTCCTAGCCCATCATAATCTTACTGGACCCCTATCCTCCCCTTCTACACTTGCATAATACAAAAATTGCTACCATGTATACAGGGTGTCCCAAAAATCTTAGTGCAGTCTTAAATTATTGTAACTTATATTTTGAGCAGTTTTAAGTTATTGTAACTTAAGTTGCTTAAGTTTAAATGACTTTAAATGGCACTAAGATCTTTGGGACACCCTGTATCATACTTGAAGTTTTGCAGAACACTTTACATATGTTATCTAATTTGGCCCTCACAATTACCCTGTGAGTAAAGTGCAAATAATAGGCAGATATGATAAGAAAGCTATATATGCTTTTCTCCAAATCATTGCCAAAAATGTTAAACAACATAGAGCCAAGCATAGATCCCTGGGGCACTCCAGTAGAGACTTTCTTCCAAGCTGACATTGAACTCTTCATAACTATTCTTTGAGACTGGGTCATTCAACCACTCCCAGATTCATATAACTGTACAGTTGTCTAGCTCACATTTCTCCATCTTTGCCACAAGAATTGCATGAGTTTTGTCAAATATTTTGCTAAATCTAGGTAACCTCTGTGGTATGTCCTTGATCTACCAGTCACATAACCTTGTCACAAGAGGAAATGAGGCTGGGTTGGTAGGACCTGTTCTGGCTGGAGTCATGTTAGCTCTTTGGGATCATTTCCTTCTCCAAATATTTATTGCCTATGCCTTTAATAGCTCATCCTAGAATTTTGCCAGGAATCAAAATAAAGCTCATCATTCTATAGTTTACTGGCTCTGTTCATTCCTTTTGGGGGTCAATATTTGCTTTTCTTCAGTCCTATGACACCTCTAAGATTTCCCACAATCTTTCAAAAATTACTAACAATGGCTCAGCCATAATATCAATAAACCAACCAATAAGCATTTATTAAACACTGAGCTAGACACTGGAGATACAAAGAAAAATGAAAAATAGTCCCTCCCCTCAGGGAGCTTACATTCCAATAGTGGAGAAAACATGAGAGGCAGCTTGATGTAGCAGGTAGAGAGCTAGAACCAGGAAGACCTGGGTTTGAATCCTAACTCAGACACTTACTAGCTATGAGACCCTGGATAAGTCATTTGACCTCTGTGCCTTAGTTTACACATCTGTAAAATGAGGGCACAAGACTTGATGTCATCTAAGGTCCCTTCCAGATCTAAATCTATGATCTTATGTACATGTAGACAAGGTGGTTTGGGGAGGAAGAGAGCTAGCAGCTCAGCTGAGGGTCAGGGAGGAGAGGGAAGGCTTCCACAGAAATCTGTTAGTTCTTTCCAAGACCTCAGATGCAGCTTATCAGGGTCTGGTGACTTGGGCTCATCAAGGACAGCTTCCTGTTCTCTTACTATCTCTCTGCTCCTCTTAGCATCCAACTCCATATTGGTCAGATAGAGATGAAGAGAGCTGGATGGATGGATGGATGGATGGATGGATGGATGGATGGATGGATGGATAGACAGACAGACAGATAAACAGATAGATAGATAGATAGATAGATAGATAGATAGATAGATAGATAGATAGATAGATAGATAGATAGATATGGATGGGTGGGCAGATAGAGAAAAAGATAGATGATAGAAAGAAATGAATAGATGAGAGAGAGAGAGCTGGGTGGATGGATAGATAGATGTGAATGGGTGAGTAGATAGATATATATAGAGAGGGAGAAATAGACAGACAGATAGATAGATAGATAGATAGATAGATAGATAGATAGATAGATATGAATGGATGAGGAGAGAGAGCTAGGTGGATAGATAGTTATAGATTGGCGGGTAGATAGATATAGAGCTAGAGTGAAAAAAATGGACAGAAAGAAAGAAAAAGAAAGAAAGATGAGAGAGCTGGGTGGATAGATAGATATGGATGGATGAGTAGATAGATATAGAGATAGCAAGAAATAGATAGATAGATAGATAGACAGATAGATAGATAGATAGATAGATAGATAGATAGATAGATAGATAGATAGATAGATATGGGTGGATAGATAGTGCATTTATTAAATACTCACCATATGCAATCACTGTGTTAAGCACTAGAAATACAAACCCATGTAAACAAATAGTGCCTGCCCTCAAGGAGCTTACATTCTCAAGGAAAAACAACACCTAAAGCAGAGAAAGAAGGGGGTGTGGCATATAACATACACCGTGGCTTGGTTTTAAGGTGGTAGCCTGGCCATGAGGTGAAGGCCTCGTTCCCAGCAAAGTAATGCAAAAGCTCACCCATTGAGTCCAAGGTGACTCCCGGGTCTTTGTCCAGGATTTGATTGAGGAGAAGATGAGGAAGACAAAAACTTTCTCAGAAGTATGAATTGCTTTTTTTGTCTTTAGAACTTCATTCTTGGTGATTTCCCACCACTTCTGCGCTGATTTTCCTATAGAATTTTAATCCATGGGACCATGTATGTTTGCTCTAAATCCTTTGAAATCTGCACTCCCAAAATTGAGGGTCCAGGCCAGACCTTCCAGCTTTCTTCTCCAATATCACAAAGTTGAGAAGGGAGTGATCATTTCCCCAGGGTCTTCTCATTCCTCCTTCAGAAGCTAGCTTCTTCTTGCTGGTAAGACTCAGGTCCTGGATGACTATTGCCTCCTCATTGCTTCCTCTACCTTTTGAAAAATGAAGTTATCAGTAAAGAAAGGCCAGAAAGGATTATCTTCTCTGTTTGGGACAGATGAAGAATTCCAGCAGATGTCTCAGTACTTGAGTCCCCTTTTATGATGATGTCATGCCTCTGATCCAGGCTTGTAATCTGTTTCCTGAACTCTTCATCCATTTCCTCTTCCTATACAGATGGTCTGTAGAATACTTCCAATGACAAAATAGCTTCCATTACTGCCTCCTTTGATCTTTATCCAAACGTTCTTCCCTTACATGCTTTCTTGGATTTCCTCCCATGAAGAATATGCAATGTCCCCATGGAATCAGATTTTGTACATACTCTGTTCTCTCAAGGAAAATATATGTGACATTCAAACACAAGACTGAAGGGAAGCATAAAAAGATAAACGTGAAAGAGTAGTCATAAGAGATTCAATAAAGTTATACTGTTTGCATTCCTATGTGAGAAGATGGTACATGTAACTCCGAAGAACTTTATCATTATTAGAGGAGTTAGAAGGATCTACATAGACAGAGGGCATAGTATAAGTCGATTCTATTGAGATGATCTCCCAAAAAAAATGAAGGGGTGAGAAAGAGGGTTGTACTGGGAGCGGGGGGAAGAGAGAGGTAGAAGGGGAAAATTTTCTCACATAAAAGAGGTGTGCAAAGAAGAGTTTTTGCAGTGAAGTGGAAAACAGGAAATGCTTGAACCTCACACTCATTGAACTGATTCAAAGAGGGAAGAATACACACGCGCGCGCGCGCGCGCGCGCGCACACACACACACACACACACACACACACACACACACACACACAGTTGGGTATAGAAAGCTATCCTACCTAACAAAGAAATAGGAGGGGAAGGGAATAAAAGATATGGGGGGGATGATAAAGGGGAGTGTGGATTAAGGGAAGCAATTGGTCAGAAGCAAAACAAACTCTTAAGAAAGGACAGAATAAAAAGAAAGAGAGGAGAAGGAACAGAAGGAAATGGGATGGAGAGAAATACACAGTAATCATAATTGTGAATGTACCTGGGCTGAGTCAGCCCATAAAACAGAAGTGGGTAACAGAGTGGATTAGAAGCCACAATCCAACAACATATCGTACAAGAGACACACTTGGACACACAGAGAGTTAAAATAAAGGGCTAGAGCAGAGTCTATTATGCTTCAGCTGAAGTACATAAAAAAGGCAGGAGGAGCAATCATGATCTCAGACAATGCAAGGGCAAAAAAAAAATAGAGATGATTAAAAGGTGATCAACATTTTGCTGAAAGTTACTATAGACAATGGGCAGCTAGCTGGCTCAGTGGATAGAGTGCTGGGCCTAGAGTCAGGAAGACTTAAATTCAAATCAGATACTTACTAGCTGTGTGACCCTGGGTAAGTCATTTCACCCTGTTTGCCTTCATTTCTTCATCTGCAAAATGAGCTAGGAAAGGAAATGGCAAATCATTCCATTATTTTTGCCAAGAAAACCCTAAATGGAGTCACGGAGAGTTGACACAAATGAAAACAACTGAACAGGACAAGACACCATAGACAATGAAGTAATATAAAAAAATTTTATGGCACGTTTCTCTGATAAAGGCCCCGTTTCTCAAATGTTAAGGAACTGAGTCAGATTTATAAAAATAAAGGCCATTTCCTAATTGATAAATGGTCAAAGGATATAAATAGGCAGTTTTCAGAAGAAGAAATGAAAGCTATTTGTAATCTTATGAAAAAATGCTCGCAATCACTATCACTTAGATAAAGGCAAGTTAAAACAACTCTGAGGTATCACCTCACACTTATCAGAAATGACAAACGCTGGAGGGAATGAGGGAAAATAAGTACACTAAAATATTGTTGAGATAGTTGGAAATTGTTCCGTTCTGGAGAATAACTTAGAACTATGCCCAAAGAGCTATAAAATTGTGCCTACCCATTAACCCAGCGATACTAGTAGATCTGTACCCCAAAGAAATCAAAGAAAAAGGAAAAAGATCTATATGTACAAAAATATTTATAGCAGCTCTTTTTATGCTGGCAAAGAATTGGAAATCAAGGGGATGCCCATTGGAGAATGGCTGAACAAGTTGTGGCATATAGTTGTGATGGAGTGCTATCGTACTATAAGAAATGATGAGATGTGGGGGGGGTGTTCAGAAAAAACATGGCAAGATCTATATGAACCGTTGCAAAATGAAGTGAGAAGAACCAGGAGATCGCTGCACACAGTAACAGCAATGTCATAATGATCAACTGTGAAAGACGTGCCTACTTTGTTCAATACAATAATCCAAGACAATTCCAAAAGGACTCATGATGAAACAATGCTACCCACCGGAGAAAGAACTGAGAAACTGTGAGTGAAAATTGAGGTATAATTTTCTCATTTTCTTTATTTTTCTTACTTTTTAAAATGTGGCTAATATGAAAATGTTTTGCATCATTTCACATGTATAATTCATATCATATTGCTTGCCTCCTCATTGGGTGTGGAAGGATGTGGGAAGGAAGGAAAGAATTTGGAACTCAACATTTAAAAAGAAATAAATGCTAAAAATAAATAAATAATGAACTTAAAATAATTTTAAAAAGAAGATATATGCCATATACACCCTTTCAGAGCCATATCTCAGTCGTGGGTCACCTCCCATTACGTCTCAGGGACATTTTTGAGGTCAAATTCACCTCGTTGCACTAACATGGCAAGTTAATTTACTCCCTTACATCTCTGACTCTCATATCTCTAATTGCTTCTTACTCAAACTCTGTGCATTTGTGTACAATCGTCTAAGGTCATGTGTTTTATGCTTCTTGGATTTTTCCCCCTGTGGATTATTTTTAAGTTGAATTTTCTATCCTTATTTCATCTTTAAATTTTTATCTTTATGAACTTGACAAACATGAACATTTCCTTATACAAAAAATAGAAAAAGAAGATTGTATATAAGACTTCAAATTTCCCTTATGTGCAGCTAGCTTCTTTCTTGTAACACTAGAAGAACAAGGCTGTCAATTTACACAAAGAAGGACTTGGTCTGGCCAGGTATTCCTAAATTCTGGGCCTTCTACTCTACATTCTAAATTCTGTGCTATTTTGGACTGAATAGGATTTACTAGCTCCAGTTCTGTAGTTCTACTATTGTCTTGCTTGTCCATGTCCCTTTCCAAACTTTTATCCCTTCTATTTCTTGTTGTTGAGTCATTTTTCAATCACGTCTGATTCTTTATGACTCCACTTAGGGTTTTCTTGGCGGAGATGCTGGAGTGGTTTGCCGTTTCCTTCTACAGCCCATTTTACAGATGAGGAAAACTGAGGCAAACAGAGTGAAGTGACTTGCTTCTGGGGCCAGATTTGAACTCATAAAGGTGAGTCTTTCTGATTTCGAGCTCAGTGCTCCATCAGCTGTGCCACATGGCTACCCCTGTCCTCTTCTATGCATACTTTTAAAAAATACAAATTTTTTAGAAAACCATTTCATTAATGTTTCCTCCCTTCTCTTCTTCCTTTTTTTCAGCACCACCATTACCACCAACATCCTGACTTCGCCACCTTCCAGCAACTAGTGAAGAAGCGAGCACACTATCTGCGTGTTCATAGTAGATGTTGAGAAGAAAGCTAGCCATAGTCTATTTACCCTCCTAAAAGAAAATCGAATTCAAAGAGTTCAGAGGAAAAATACATAGGACCTTGAGCCTCATTTGAGATTCCAAGCCCTCTTTCACTCTGGAATCTCCCTCTCTGTTCTTCACGCGCCACTCCATCTCCCGCCTTGGCACTCGGCACGTCCCATTCTGGCACTGGTCTCCCTCACTCCCTGGGCCTCGTATCTCTCTCCTCAGTACGCACATCCAATACCCCATTCTACACGGCTGATGCCCTTTCTGTTCCCCACTACTACTGGTGCCTTCCCTCCCAAACACCTTTGCATTTCTTTCCTTTGATTTTGTTCTCTTTAGGTGTCTGGAATAGACAAGGAGCCTCCTTCTGAGAGAGCTGGGATGGTGTGTAAAGAAAGTGTCCTAGAGAGATACAGAGCAAGTCTATCATTCCATCGGGGTCAACTAGTCATATGGGAAATTGGAGACATTCCAAAAGTCTTAATGGGCTTCCCCCATGTCTCCCCTGTGGCCGTCCTTTCAGGTGCTCTGTTCCATGTCTTGAGTGACCAAAAGCATGCTGTAAGGCAAGACCTAGAGCCAGGACATTCTCCCCCAATTCTCCCCAGTTGTTGCCTTCCCCTTCCCCATTTCCTCTACTTTCTTCTTCTTCCTTTCGCTTCCAGACAGACCAGAAAAGGAAAAGGTCAGATGGCAGGGCAGAGGCACAATGGATCTCAAAGGCCATCTAGCCCAGCCCTCTCACTTTGTAGATGAAGAAACTAAAGCTCAGAGAAGATTAGTGATTTGTCCAGGGGTCACCCAGAAATTAAGCATCAGAGACAGGATTTGAACCCAAACCTTGCTGGTTCCAAATGTGACACACTACCCACACCTGCTGCTTGGTGGGAAGACAAAGCGAGAGGAAATCATTCCTGTGTCCTTTTCTCTGAATGTTAACTCAGGGAGGATCATGGGAATGGGGGCAGAGGCCTTTGCTTGGTGTCAACGGTGCCTGCCTGGGAGAGAGTAGAGAGGCCCTTTGGCCCCCAGGGGGCAGCAGCGATCAAGGAAAGGTGGGCACTAGAGTGTTTGGGCAAGACTGGGTTCCTGGGGGTTCCCTTTCTTTTCCCTTCATTTAGGAAGAAAAGAAACATTTATTAAGCACCTACTCTGTGCCAGAAGCCTTGCTAAGCACTTTACAAATATTATCTCAAAAAACAAAACAAAACAAAAATCTCAAAAAACAAAACAAAACAAAACAAAAAACAAATATTATCTCAAAAAACAAAAAAAATTATCTCCTTTGATCCCTCACGATAAACCTTTGGGAGGCAGCCATTATTATCCCCATTTTACATTTGAGGAAACTGAGACAGATAGCAGTTAAGTGACTTGTCATGGTCACACAGTTGGCAAATGTGTCAGGTTGGATTTGAACTCATGTTTTCCTGACTGCAGGCCCAGTACTGTGTACACTGCCCTCCACCCGGCTGCCCCCCAGCTTGCTGAGAAGCAAAGTTCTCATACCTGGCACTAAGCCTTTGAGAACCCAGATTTCAGAGTTAGAAGGCCATCTGGTCCGACCCCTACCTCAGCAGAAATCTCCTCTGCCACTATTCCTGAGAAATGAGAACCAAAGACTTTGCATTCAATCATTTCCTAAGCATACGGCAATAGTGTAGCGTGGGAGCAAAGAGAGACAGCATCTAGGACTAGGGAGTTATAGTATTAACTCCTAGGACTGGCGAGTTTTATTATTAGCACCCTAGTCCTAGGCACTGCCTCTCTGAACACAGCCTGAGACTGAATTACCTTTCTTGGCTCTCATACTGAAGCCTTGGTTACCTTAAAGCACTATAGGAATGATCATTGTAATTACTGAGTTGGCAGACCCTCAAATTTTTTTTTCCAGACAAACTCACCTAGCCACAATGCCCTTATCTCATACTTACCTATGGCTTTGGATTGTTTTTTTTTTAACTCAAGTGTATGAAATCGTATTTATATCTAATACATTTCACCTCATTAGATTTGATCCATTGTTCAACCTGGCATGGGGAACCTTCAGCCTTGAGGCTACATGTGGCCCTATAGGTCCTCAAGTGTGGCCCTTTGATGGAATAGGGCCATACTGAAGGACCTAGAGGGCTGCAGGTTCCCCACAGGCTAGGGTGGGTTAGTCATCCCTCTCACCTTTGTGTTAACCATCCCTCCTAGCTTTGTGTCAGTTCTAAACTTGACAATTACGATATCTGAAGCTTTATCCAAGTCATTTTTTTAAGCTGAATCATATAGATCCACACACGTGTGCTTGAGATTCTCCACCAGCGATCTCCTTTCAGGTAGACATTGTATCATTACTGACTACTCTTTGGGTGGTCCATTTGGCCAGTTCTTCTCTTCTTCTTGTCCTCATGAGAGACTGTGTCAAAAGGGTTACTCAGAACTAGATAACCAAGTAGCATTGCCCCCAATCTTGTAGTCTGTTTAAAAAAAAAAAAACGGAATCAGTCTGCAATCCTAGGAAAGAAAAAGGTCTGCTGTGTCCTGTTCCTGGTGACACCATCAAGACTGTCAGATCACTACAAACTTTTTTCCAGATGCTCATTAGCCAACTTCTTAATGATGGGTTCTAGAATTTTGCCAGAAATTGAACTAAAACTCCCTGGTCTTTGCTTTACAGACTCAGCCTCTTCCCCCTCCCCCCCTTTTTTTTTTAATTAGGGCATCTAGTTTTCTGTAATCCTAAAGCACCGCTCTCATTCCCCACAACCTTCAAAGGCCATTGGCAATGAATGGTCCAGCAATTACAGCTGCCATCCCTTTCATTACCCCTACGGTAGAGTTCATCTGGGCCAGGTGACCCAAACTCATTAAAGATAGCTGGGTGCTCTCTCACTATTTACTCATTTACCTGGATACCAACCCCACTGCTCATTTCTGTTATGTTCATTTCCGGTCCAAAGCTCATTGTCTTTGGCAGACTCTCAAAGGGTGCTAAATTAATTTGCACTTATTCTGTGCATTTTTATATTTTCTTATACATGTGCACGTTATTACACAGATAGAATGTAAGCTCCTTGAGGGCAGGAGCCGATTTTGTTTCTTTATCTCCACTGCCAAGCACAGAGACTGATAGATTGGAGGTACTTAATAAATCCTCAGAAAAGGAAATACAGTAGTACTCAAATACCCCAGTATATCTATGGACCCATTAATGTGGATGTTTTTCCCAAGGATGCAGATCCATGCGTCCAGGAACCCATCCATGCCTGTTCAACCAATGAATCAACCTTGGACTTGTCTTCTCATCTTGGGCAACTAAGCTCAGCATGGAATAAGGAAGACCTGAGTTCAAATCCAGTCTGAGGTGCCAAGTAGCAGTATGACCCTGAACAAGTCATTTAACGCTGTCTGCCTCAGTTTCCTCAACTGTAAAATCAAAATCATAATAGAACCTATCTCACAGGATTGTTGTGAGGCTCAAATGAGATAATATTTGTAAAGAGCTCAGCACACATGCTTAAAAAATGTTTGTTTCCTTCCTTTGGCAAACACACTAAGGTAACAAAAGCAGATATTTGACTATACTGGGAAAAAGAGAAGGATCAAAGAAGGAATCGGCCCCATGCTCCAGTGAATGGGCCAATGGTAATTTCTGAATCAAAATGAGTTGACCAGCCAGCCGGCTCTGCCCTCTCACTGATATCATCGTTATCCCACCCTCCTGGGGAGGCCAAGCTCTCCTTTGGTCTTACCTTTGTTCTTACTTTGAGAAATTACCCCCGCTTGTTATCATTAGCCTTCCCAGCCTCGTTCCAAGATTTCACACTCCTGGAACTATGTTTATCGGATGGTCAAACATCTCCACCCAGCATCCCCGACACTGAGCTTTTATCCCCAGCCCGGGGCACTCCACCCTGGGCACTAAGCTCCCCTCCCTAACACTGAGCCCCATTCCTAATCCAGAAGCCTCCGTCTGTGACACTGAGTCTCTACCCTGGACACTAAATCCCGTCCCAAGCACTGAACCCACCAACTCCTGGGTCTTGGCGTGCTTTATTTATATTCTGTTTGACTCTCTGGGATCCAGGGACGGACGAAGCAAAGGAAAATCAATGAATGCTACATGAATAATCAAATTTCAACTAGAAAACTCCTGAGGATAGAATCTTTACTTATATGTAAATGTTTTTACAAAGAAACCTGTAGCCTACTTGACTCTTTCCTACCTTGGGATACTGTTTTTTTAAAGGGGAAGAATTACCAGTGGTATGGGTGAAGGGTCCCAGTTAGGAGGACTGTCCAAGAGGCAGTGAGGCATGTGCAGAGAGATCCTGAAAAAGCACAGGAGTTGACAATTGACCTGAAAGTTGAGGGTGGAGGGGTGAGCATTCCAGTGCCATACCACCCCCTCCTAGGCAGGAAGAATCTAACTAGGTCTGAGAAGTGAGCCTCCAGTCCGAGGAATTCTTTTCAAAATATTGCCGTAAGGCATTTTGTCTTCATATCACAGTTAAATCCGGGAGAGAACAAAGCCCTCTTACCCATCCAGATTGAATGCCTTCCTTGTAACCCCCCCAAAAAGTTAAGCAACTTTATACTAACATCTGGCAATGTATACAACATTCTTCCCTAGAGATCTCCCATTTTACTATTACCGGAAAGAGGGAGGGGATGTTTCAGTATCTGTTTCCAGGGAACTTGGCTGGTTTCTCTTTTTTTTTTTAATAGATTTTTATTGATATTATTTGTTTTTACATCCTTTAGGTTTCACTGTTTTCCTCCCCCTCCCTTCTCCACGCTCTCAGAGAGCCATTCCTTATAACAAAGAATCTTTGACAGAGACTGAGAGAGAGAGGAGAGAGGAGACAGAGACAGATAAAGATAAAGGAGGGAGAGAGAGAGAGAGAGAGAGAGAGAGAGAGAGAGAGAGAGAGAGAGAGAGAGAGAGAGAGAGAGGAGATAGAGACAGATAAAGGGAGGGAGGGAGAGAGAGGGGGGGAGAGAGGGAGAGAGAGAGGAAGAGAGAGAGAGAGAGAGGAGAGAGGAGATAGAGACAGGTAAAGATAAAGGGAGGGAGGGAGAGAGAGAGAGAGAGAGAGAGAGAGAGAGAGAGAAGAGAGAGAGAAGAGAGAGAGAGAGAGAGAGAGAGAGAGAGAGAGAGAGAGAGAGGAGGAGGAGGAAGAGGAGGAAGAGGGGGAGGAGGAGGAAGAGGAAGAAGAAAAGAATCAATACATCAAAAAGATTGGCATTATATGCAATGCTTGGTTCCCGAGAACCTCCCCATCACCTCTCCAAAGGAAGGGGGAAGATGTCTTCTCATGTCTCTTTCTTTAAGCCAAGCTGGTTCTTTATAGTTTTGAAACAGTGAGTTTTGGTAGTTTCGCAGCGCTTGATCTTCCCATTGACATTTTCTCATCACCATGCCTTGTTTTCTTGGCTCTGCTCACTTCACTTTGATGCAGTTTACGTCAGTCTGTCCATGTGTCTTTGGATTCGTTCTGTTCATCATGTCTTCACGCATAATAATACTCCGTGTACCACAATTCATTTAGCCATTTCTCAATTGATGGGCATCTACTTTGTTCCCAGTTCTTTGCGGCCACAAAAATATGATGATAATTATTTGGTATATAGGGAGTCTTTATTTTTATCATTCACCTCCTCAGGGGTTCCTCCTAGAAGTAGAATCTCTGGGTCAAAGGGTATGAACGTTTTAGCCACTCTATTTGAATAATTCCAAATTGCTTCCCAGAATGGCTGTATCACTGTGTAGCTCCACCAATAATCCACCAGTGGGCCTTTCTTCCCCTAACCCCTCCAGCCTTGACTATTTCTCATCTTTTGTCATTGTTGCCAATTTTCTAGATAGGAGGTGAAGCCTCAAGGTTGCTTTGATTTGCATTTTTCTGATTATTAGGAATTTGGAGCATTTATTCATGTGATTGTATATAGCTTGAGATTCTTCTTTTGAGAATTTATTGACCGCTTCTCCACTGGGGAAAGTTTCGTTGATTTTTCAGTGATTTGGAATCCAGCTAACTTTTAAGAATCTTTTCCATTAACGTTATTGTTCTCATCTTTATATCTGTTGCTCTTTTGGTATTGCTTACTTCACTCTGCATCCTTTTGGACCAACTTGCCCAAATTTCTCTGAATTTCTCATACTCTCCCTCAGTGGTATCAAATGCAAATAGAAAAAGAGGCCATTAATCCCTACTTACGTGAGGATCCCTGTGGACCACATGCTGACTGTCATTGGTTAATAATTCACACTGAATGATGATTAATTGATAATAATATTGACTAAGCAGGTTAATTTACTGATGTGACCTATGTTTTATTACATTTTTATTTATTCTGATAAACATTTCCCATTCCATTTTAATTGGGTTCCTGGGGCATTTGGGAGGACCACAGGAAGCATGTTTGACACCTCTGTTCTACATTGCTTCTGAGTCACCCTTCATGTTAGGACAGAAGAGAAAAGGTCACCAGTCACCAGACACATCACAGCCTTGACCTCCGGCCTCCAGGTACAGTTTGGCTTGTGTTGCCTGGGAGCACTAAGATAAAGAGACTGAGGCTGATTGGGGATTGAGGGCTTTGAAAGTGTGATTGAGTGTAAAGATAGGGACGGAGAGAAAGGAAACAGGAATCACAAGGACCTCAAAGGTATAGCTGGTATTGAGCAACTGACTGTGGGGACATGTGTTTCCTCTCCCACAGCAGAACTTTGCTGACAACTCAGTACCAGACAAAGCTCCCTCCCTGACCCTGGCTCCTCTGCCCAGCCCTGGGCCGTCATACCCCTGTGCTGGGCTTCTGGTTGGACTGCAAATGTTGAGCTTCTAAGGCTGAGGACCATGCCACGCAATCTGGCCAGAACCAGCAAAAGAATTGCAAAGGGGGCCTTCTGGTCTCCTCAGCAGCAGCCTTGGGGTTTCTGTCCCCCTTCGTCTGAGATTGCCCCACATGTTTGAATTCCTAGCCATGGCTCTGGGGACTTTACAATCCATGTAGTCCAACCTCATTTTACGGAGTAGGAAATTGAAACCCAGAGAGAAGCAATTTGCCCAAGGTTTACACACGTAAGAGAGACAAGATGTAAACCCAGGCGCTCTGCCTGAAAGTCCTATGGTGTCTCCACTGCACAGGATGAACACTTCCAGCTCCTCCCCTCAGTTCTGCCCATCCCATCCCACCCCACACCCAAACCCCCAACCTAGATTTCCAGGACAGGAACAAGCCTTCTGACTTTTGTGGGATTTGTGATATGAACACTGTGGGTGAAAACAACTAGGAAGGAGGCTCAGGTGTCAGAGCTGTAGGCTTAGCATTAGGATTGGGAATTCAATGTCTAAGGTGGGGGCTCAGTGTTAGGGATGTTGGACCCAGATCTGGAATGGCAGCTCAGTGTTCGAATCATTGTGGGTTTGGTGTCGGGGATCGGGGCTCAGTGCCAGCAAGGGAGTTTTGCGTTAGAAATGGGGACGGAGTCACCGAGGAGACTTAGATGAATTGATCAAGAACCAGGAAAATAATATATACAATGACTATAACATACATGGGGTGGGGGTGGGGGAGAGCCAAAATAAAAAAACTGAACATTGTGAAATTATTACAACCAAGTTTGGTCCGGAGAAGAGATAGGAGAATGTATCTGCCTCCATTTTCTGCCATCATGGTAGACTGTGGGTGAGCTGCTGCATATGCTGTTAGATATGATTCATTGATTTATGTCTTGGTTTTGATTACTGGTTTGGTTTTTCTGCTCTCAGGGTGAGGGAGGAGGAGAATTAAGATGGGAAACGAAAGGGATATAAGAGTAAAATATATAATAAAATCTTTTTAAAGGAATGAGGGCTCAGGAATCAAAATGCAGTGATAGGAATGGAAGCTCAGAATCAGATGTCGGTAAAAGATGGGAGTTCAGTGCCTAGGAAGGTGTTCCAGTGTGAGGTCATCATTGGTGGAGATTGGAGCTCAGTATGAGGCCAGCATCGGTAGAGACTGGGGCTCAGTGGTATAGCCAGGACTAAGCCTCAGGGATGGGAATGGGAGCTCAGGGTCGATAACGCAGGCTCAGTGTTAGGGATGCCATGCTGGCTGAGCATCAGGAATGCGGCTGGAATGGGGCCCCGCTTTCAAGAATGGGGCATTTTTTTTATGGTGGCAAAGAATTGGAAACTGAGGGGATGCCCATCAGCTGGGGAATGGATGAATAAGTTGTGTATGATTGTAATGGGATACTGTTGTGCTATAAGAATTGACAAGTGGGGTGCTTTCAGGAAAACCTGGGGAGACTTAGGAGCAGATACAAAGCAAATTGAGCAGAACCAGGAGAACATTGTACACACTAACAGTAATATTGTAACAATGATCAGCTGTGAAAGACTTAGCTACTCTGATCAAGACAATGATCTAAGACAATTCCAAAGGACACATGATGAAAAAACGTTATCTACCTTGATTGAGAGAGAACTGGTGAACTCTGAATGCAGACTGAAACTTTTTATTTTCCTTGTTTTGTGAGTGTGTGTGTTTTCTGCTGCAACAAATGACTAATATGGAAATATGTTTTGCATGACTTCAGAGATATAATCAATTGCTTGCCTTCTCAAGGGGTGGGGGAGGGGCAGGAAGGAGGGAGACAATTTGGAACTCAAAATTTTAAGAAATGTGATCAAGAATTATTTTAAATTAAATTTTAAATGTAATCAGGAAATGTTTAATGAAATAAATTTTTTAATGTGTTAAACATTAAAAAGAATGGTGCATCTCTGGTGGAGAACAGGGCTCACTGTTTAGGAAAAGGTTAAGTGCTCTAAGTGAGCCTCAGAGTCAGGGATATGGGCTTGGATTCTAAGGGGATCTGAAATAAAGGCTCAGATTACTTTCAAAACTTTGCAGCAGCCACTTGAAGTCTTTAAAGGCAAAAGGAAAGAAAGGGAAAGGTCAATTATAAACCAGTGTTGTGTGTACGGGAGGGAGGGGAGATAGCTTTTGATCTGATTGGTGAGCATTTTTTAACTAAGGGCCAGTCAGCTTTCAAAGGGAGGAAGGAGCCGAGACCCGGACACTCCTCCCCCACCCCATCTGCTCTGACCGCTGGCCTAGATCTGTACCGCTGGGCCCCTTCTGCTCCAGTGCCTGGCAGCCCCACTCCCGCGCCAGACCAGCTGGCTGGGCCTGGGAAGAGGTGAGTGGGTCTCCTCCCCCTTGATTCCCCTGATCCCCAGTACCCCGTGGGAGCCCAAGCAGCACCCACAACGCACACTCCTGCCCCTGCAATCCAGGGAATTTAAACTGCAGAAAGTGAGTCCTGGCCTCCTCCTGACGTCACACACGTACATTTCCCCCCCCCTTCCCCCAGGCTTCTTGGAAGAGGCCTTTGAAATGGGCTTTAAAGAAAGGACTGCAGTTGGACAGAACAAGGCAGGGCATGAGCAATGCTGGGGTCAGAGAACGTTCTAGATCATCTGGACAAAGGATAAGTGGAGGAGAGGAAGATGAGAGAAGACTGGAGAGGTAGAATAGAGTAGAGGGGATGCCAGACATGGGAAGTTTGGCCTTAATTTTTCAGGGGGGCCCTGAAGACATTGGCACAGAGGAGAGCAATGCCCAGATCAGTGTGTGCCCAGGTATGAAGGCTGGGGTTAAGAGAACGAAGACAGAAATATCAATAAGAATCACATGATCAGAGGGACCTCAGGAGGCCTCCAGTTCTTCTGTCTCAGGTTACCTGTTACCCATAAGGAAACCAAAGCCCAGAGAGCTTCGATGACTGGCCCAAAGTCACAGCTAAGTGGCAGAGGAAGGATTTGAATCCAGGTCCAAACATTCCCCAATCTAGCATCCCCTTCCTCCATGCCAGGATATCAATAGTCCAAGATGGCAGCATCCAGCTTTGGACTAAGGTCTGGGGAGTGAGAACAGAGAGGAGGGGATAGATGAAAAAGATGGCGCAGAGATTGAAGCAGATGCTGAGGAGTAGATTGTGTGGGCAAAGTGGAGGCAGGGAAGAATCCAGGCTGACTCAGCCCCACCAAGGGGACTGTTTAACCATGACTCCCCCATCCCACACTCAGGTAGTACCACAGACAGAAAGAGGGACGGCAGAAAGAGGGAAAGAACAAGGCTGATTCAGGATATATCACGTGTGAGGGGCGGCTGGAACAGGCCTGTTGGCAGGCAATTAGTTGGAGGTGTGTGGGTGTGGATCTTGAAAGAAAGGTCAGGGTGAGAGATAATAGTATAGGAGTCAGCTGTTCAGATGTGGCCATGGAAGTAGGATATAGCAGGCTCTGGAATCAGAGGACCTGGGTCCAAATCCCACCTCTGACGATGTCTGCCTGCTTCTCTGATGACTGATTTAGACCATCACTTCATTTCTCTGGGCTTTAGTTTTTTCACCTGCAAAATGAGGGGATTAGACTAGATGACTCTGTGGTCCCTTCAAGCTCCTGATGTATGTGTATATAATGCTGTATCCTCACTGGGCCTTAGTGTCCTCATTTGTAAAATAAGGAGATTGGACTAGATGGTCTTTGGGGTACCTTCCAGCTCTGAATGGGATTACCAAGGAAGAGCAGGGGGGAGAAAAGAAAGGAGAGAGCTAGGAACCAACCACTGGGGACCACCTACCGTAAGGGAGCTTGAAGAGGAGGAGGAGGAGAACCAGGACAGTGGGACGTTGCCGAAACTGCAATGGGAGTTTCCAGTAGAAAGGCGTCAGCCAACAGCTTTAGAGGCTGCAGGGAGGTCAGAGGACAAGAACTAGAAAATGGTTGTGAGATGTGACAATTATAGTCATTTGGTGACCTAAGAGAGAGTGGTTTCCATAGAGTGGTGAGGGTCAAAGCTCACTTGCCAGAGGATGAAGAGACGCTGGGACAGGAAGCCAAGGGCTCAGTCTAGACATTTAGAAGTTTGGCATGAAAGGCCAGGAAAGACGGAATGGCCATGGTGGGATATATGAGAGAGGAGATGCCAGCTGGACCAGGCAGGTAGAAATGGGTTCAAAGGTATAAGTAGCTCTGATGATGTATCAGATTGGCAGATAAGGTGAAATTGGAAGGGGCTTGCCAGATCTATTATGAGCTAGCTAGATGGGAGGATGATCAAGACAGGAAAGAGACAGGCAGGGAGAGAGAAACACAGTAGGGAGAGACGCAGAGACTATGATACTGAGGGACAGAGGAGCAGACAGAGACACCTTGAAGAGGCGTAAGCAGAGATAAAGAGACAGAGGGGAGACAAAGGCACAGAAAATGAGAGAAACAAGGAGAGACATTTTAAGATGCAGAGGAGAATGAGCACATTCTAGGCAAGGGGGCCTAGGGCAAAAGCATGGAGATGGGAAACAGAGAAGGGCAGAAAAGCACAGAGCCCCAGAGAAAGGAGTGCACAGAGAAACAGCAGGATTGAAAAGCCGAGGGGAGCACCCTGAGGGAATCGAACAGGAACTGGGCAGAGACAGCACAGAGCAAGGTCAGACAGAGGAGGAGAAGAGGACACGTGGGTAGAGGGATGGAGAGTGGGGAAGGCTAGACAGCAGGAGGCCAGAGGCCCCCACAGGCATCCAAGAAGGGGAGGCATAGAGGGAAGAGAACACAAGGACAGAAGGAGATGCAAGTGGCCCAGAAAGGGGCTGGTCTGGGGCCCACCTCCTCTGGGGATTGGGCTAGAGGGTCTCATTCCTGCTCCCTGACTTCCCTTCAGCCTGCCCTCCAGCCCCTAGCGCGGGCACAGGCAAACAAGGCCAATGCTGGAAGAACCCTTGGGTCAATCACTCTGAGTCCAGAGGGGGCCAATGGTTCTCATGCAACCAGACCATTGTGCCCTGCCCCCACAGTAACCCATTAGTGACCACGTAGTGAGTCGGCCCGGTCCGAGTCTCATCTGAAGAATAGCAGAGGACAACAGCAGTGAGAGCTGAAAGGGACTGTAGAAGTTAGGAGCCCAAGCCTCTTCATTCAACAAGGACAATATGGAGGCCAGAAAAGGGAAGACACTCCCTCAGAGAGTCAGGATTCAAATCTAGGTCCTTGGACTTTTAAATCCTGTGTTCTCTCTACTATACAACACTACCATGGGCCTACTTTCCTCATCCTCAGGGTGGGTGCCATCATCCCATTTATCCCTCTCTCCAGTAACTGTTAATGGCCACAAGAATTTGACCATAGGTGAGGTGTGCCCGCTAAGGGAGTAAAACCAAACATAATTCTTGAGAAGTTTTTTCTTTCTCTACATCTCACCCCTCAAAGATGTAACCTGACTGCATCAGCTTATAAGTCTGGGTACCATGGAATGGGTATATCAAGGCGAGTGCTGGAGGCTTTGAAACTGTGGAAATCATGACTCCTGAGAGCTCCAGGACTCTGTGAAAAGAAGGGAATTGATCTTTTCTCCCCCAGAAGAAGCCTGCCTCAGGTGAAAGCCTGGATTGGCATTTCCCACAGCATCACTGACCTGAGCCAAAAAATCCGCTTCTGTGACCAGTGGGCTTCTGACTAGGATCAGGTGACCATACCATTTCCTCTCCCCCTCCTCCCATACACAAACACACCTTCCTCCGCCTTCCTCATACATAATCACACATGCACAGCTGAACGTTTCCCAAGCTCCCCTAGGACTGACGAGGAGACAGTTTCTCTCCTCAGACATCCCTCAGGGAAACAGGGGAGACTTGGACTCCATCCTCAAGGAACTCCTGGTCTGATAAGGGAGAAATAGCCCCTGTATTTAGGCGGCCTCTGATCTGATGGGGGAAACACAGTCCCCACCCTCAACGAATCCTGATCTTATAGGAAAAGCCCCATCCTTGCCTTCAGGGATTCCTCAGTCTGATAGAAGAGACAGAGCCTTGTGTGTATGGGGGCATGAAGACTGATGGGAGTCGGTGGGGTGGAGAATGATTGTGTATGGATGCTCACCAGATACAAAAAAAGAAGCCTTGCCTGAGTATAAACTGGTTTGGTTTGGGGGAGGAGGGTGCTATACTTATCTCCCCAAAGTCATGTACACAAAGCAAGTGCTTCATAAATGTTTGTTGAATGAATATTGAAAATTCAGGATATTTCAGCAAAGCATGTTCACGGTCTGAATGTCTATGGACTTTTCCAAATGTCCAGTCTAGTGTTTCTACTTGTGGGATGTCACTATGCTTTCAAAAGCGCCAAGAGTGAACAAGGGGAGTCATGAAGCCTACAAGGCCAGGCAGTCCCTCCTCTAAAGAGGCGTAGACTCTAGATGGTGATGTTGGAACTGGAACAGGTCTTTCACTTATCCCCTTTATTTCACAAAGGAGGAAATGAGGACCAGAGAGAGGTAGTCTCACAGCAGATCACACAGCCGTTCCTAGCAGCAGCAGTTTTCAAACCCTGGTCCTCTGAGGCCACTCTCTGCTGTTTCCATCTCTTACACACACACACACACACACACACACACACACACACACAACACACACACAGAGATGGATAACGATATCAGGCACCAATCAGTGTCCAGGAAGTGCTATCGTTCCTAATTGCAGTTATGATAGAAAAAGAAATTCCAAAGGGCAGAATGAACTCAGGCATCAGGCAAATTGTACAGGCTTTTCAGGGTTGTTGGAAAGTAAACAGGGTGACTAACGTACAAGGATGTTGGAGATGTGCACTGGAGAAACAGAAACACCACAGGCCTTCATTGCATAAGACAAATAGGCGATGAAATCAGACTCCAGGCACATCAGCCCTCCGGGGCCTGGGAGCCTTCTGTAAACTGGAAGTAGCCGAGGACAAGTGGCAGAAGCAGCCTGGCCTCACCTGACGTGTCTGCCTGGGAGCCATCCCTCCCTACTTCCTTCTTTCTGCTGGGAAAGCAGCTCATTGAATTCCTTGGCATGTCACTCGTACCCAGCGCCTGGGCACATCTTTGTCTGCCTCCAAAAAGCATGGGATCGAACAATGAGGCAGGAAGCAATCGACAAGCATTTATTAAGTGCCTACTATGTGCTAGGCAGTGAAGATACAAAGACAACACCAGCCCCTGCCCCCACAAAGCTCATATCTTATCTTGTCTGACCCCTTTCTTCTGACCTCCAGTTGTCTGTTAGAAGGATGTCCCATAGACATCTTCTACTCAGTATGTCCAAGACTGAATCTATTATCTTTTCCCCAAAGCCTTCTTCTCTTCTTAACTTCCTGAAGTCTTCACGACCCCATTTGGAGTTTTCTTGGCAAAGACACTGGAGTGGTTTGCCATTTCCTTCTCCAGTTCAATTGACAGCTGAGGAAACTGAAGCAAACAGGGTGAAGTGACTTGCCCAGGGTCAGTGTCTGAGGCTGGATTTGAACTCAGGAAGATTTTTTGTGTATTCGTGCGTGCACACACACACACATACGCGCGCACGTATGTACATGTTTGTACATAGTTGTTTTTGTGCAGTCTCTTCCATTAATCTGTGAGCTTGTTGGCAGAAGGGAGTGTTTTGCCTTTCTTTTGTATCTCCAGTGCTTAGCAGGGTCCAGCACACAGTAGGTACTTAATAAAATACTAGTTGACTATCAATCAGTGAGAGAGAGCATTGTAAAGTGCCTACTGTGTGCCAAACTGTACTACAAAGACTAAAATAAAATTACTTCAAGGATCTTAGGTTTACAACTAGAATGAGCTCCAAAAGTTGCCTGGTCATAAAGTCATGACATTTTTTGTTAGAAAAGGCCTTCAATCGTCCAGTGCCACCTTGTTTTTTATTCATTGATGAGGAAACTGGGGGGAGGGGGTCATGACAGGGCCAACAGGTTTGTGACAGTGAGTAAGTTCCTGCTGGACATTGTGATCTCTTCCTTCTTTTATGTCCATACTGCAAGATTGTGGTATCTGAATTTTTTATCACAAAGATGAATGAGTCTCGTGATTCAGAGATAAAGGAGACTGGTTTTGTAACCAACATGCTAGAACTTTGAAGCCACAGGGGAAAACCGTGATGGTTCCCTAGATCCCAGCGGTGGGACATAGGGAAAGAAGGGCTGAAAGGCCCTTTCTGAAAGCCCCAAAACCCCCAGAGAGGGCCCTGGCTCAACTCAGGGCCCATCTGACCTGGGCTAGACTTCTTTCTGAATCTAGGTCTCAGCTTCTATAAATGGTGGTGATGGTTGGGCTAAACCAGTTTCCTCATGTGTAAAATTAGGAGTTCGGGCTAGATGGCCTCAGAGGTCCCTACAGCCATGACTTCTGAGGATAGAGCCCAGCCCCCACCGAGAGCATGAGGAGGGAGAAGAGGCCCTTCCCAGGAAGGAGTCCCCACCATGTTTTGAGCTATGTTAGAAGAGCCACCCAACCACTGCAAAAGTGTCCGAGTCAGGTGGGCCCAACCCCAGAAGGCTTCCCAGAGGCAGGGGATTAGAAGAGAGGAACGTCTTCACGTCCAGGAGGAAGAGCTCTGAGATGGGAATGTGTGTCTTTCCATCCTACAGGATGTGGCCATCCTGGATTACCAAGCTCTGCTCCTACATGTGGCCTGTGGCACCGGGCTGGTGGCTGTTGAGGTCAGGGGGCCCTTGGCCATTGTGATTCTCCCATCTTCCCCTATTTCTCAAGCTATTTATTCCCCCTGCCCAC